TGTTTTTAATCATCCCTTCAGCATGCCATACCTTTTCATCCAAGGCCTTGTGGTGCTCAAACAAAGATTTCAGTGCCTTGAGAACCTCAACTTCGCTGGAGACTCCTGAGGGGGACTGGGCTTGCCGTTTGACCACCGTCATTCTTAGTGACCTTTCGTGTCGTGACACAAGGCACTCCAAATGCTCCAGTAACAGCTGTTGGTTTTAACAGAAAACACAATAATTTTATGACTATATATCACTAATACTTATAAATGAGTTCCACCTTCAATAACTGCCAGTTGACATAATAGGTGATAATAATTTCAGATAACATGGCAAGTAGCATAATGAGGCACAAAGCTGAGCCTAAATCATGACTCATAAAATACCTGAAAAACAAATCGCTTTTTGAAATATAGCAGATGAATGAATTAATATTTTCATGTAGACCTTATGCAGCTTTTATAAAATTTAATAACGCTGAGCCTCCCTGGTGGCCTAGGGGTTAAGCCTCAGTACTACCATGGCATAGATCTGCCAGGGAGGTGACGCTTATTGCATAGCAGACCTCTCTCGTCTGGCCACTTGCTCCCGTTAGTGGTGTATTTTAGTAGATCTTCCTGTTTTGCTTCCCACTCTTGTCTCTGGTGAATCTTCTCACCCCTCCCCCCCCATATCTCTGGCCTCCACCCCAGTTCTATTATGCAAAAATAAGTAAAATCTTTAAAAAAATAGAAAATTAATAATTTCAATATGGTTTAATAGAAATGAACACTGCTAATATGTGTGTTCTGAGGTGACAATTATTAAAGAACACTGCACAGTAGATGACGATTTTGTAAGTATAGTTTTGAAAATTCAAATTCATTTTATTTGTGCTTTTGTGGGTCTTTTTTATTTAAGATTTATTTTATTTGTGCATACAGAACTAGGGTACAGGCCAGAGATGCAGAGGCAGTGAGAGGATTCATCAGAGGCAGAGTGAGGAGCACAACAGGCCGAATGAGGAAGTACGCTGACTGAGGAGTAGCGGGCCATGTGGTCACCTCTGGGTGAGGCAGGGATTGAACTCATGTATAAATGGCTTTATCTTCTTAGTGCTGTGCTTTAACCTGCTGTGCCACTAGGGAGGACCCTGTGGGTCTTTTAGATCTGAAAATTCAGAGCTTCCCAGCATTTATCTGGGCTGTTGCATGGTGCAGTCCCACAGCTAATCACATGTCACAAAACAAAGAGCAAGTACTCAGTGCATATCACCTGGGTTGCCACTAGAGAAGAGAAAGGAGGAATGTCAGAGGGTTCATATGAATATTCAGAGAAGAAAAGATGATTGATCTGAAAGCTAAGCTCCACTGTAAACAGCACCATGCTGTGAATATACAAATGAAAAAGACTATCAAAATGCATGAAAAGAGTAACAAGGAACAAAAGAATGATGAAAGACTCCATGAGGAGAGCAGGGCTCCCTGCTGGACAGAATGGGCCAGTCCCCAGCTCATGTACTTTCCAGTAGATAAAACAAATGTGAGAAGTAAAGGTGGGAAAGTGGAAAGTCCCTCTGCCCAGGGCTCATGCTCACACTGAAAACAAAGATATTACACATTATTCGAATAGTAGAGACAAAGAAGAAATCATAAAGAATGTGGTTGCTAATGTCTACTCTGCTGGAGATGGCTTTTTATCTGAAAACCACCGACATAGGAAAGATTCAAGAAGCATAATCAATGAATGTGAGTCATCCTTGTGACACAAGGAGGCAAGGTTATTTGGAAAAACTATGTTTATGTTACCAACAATACTGAACAGGATGGATGAAGCAGTACAGTCTTCCTGGTTTGACTACAGTCTGCTATAAGGAATTCTGTAAAGTTACTGAAGCTCCACACCAATCAGAACTGATTGCTCTAATACCATACCATACACCTTCCATGTCTGCCATCAAGGAAAATACATACTCGGTTGCAAAATGATATGAAAAATGGTCCTGCAAGACTGACATACAATAGGTGTTCATAAATTTCTTTGGAATGCATAAATGAAAACTGATTAAAACAATAGTTTCTAACAGTCATGTTTTTAAGGAACAGCTCCTCAGACACATGGGAACTTGGGCTAGCTGACCTGGATACAGTTAACAAGGTAATACTTTGTTTGACATCCAAAGAAGGGACATTGTCTTCCATGATACATGGGTAGTGAGATGGTTGTTAGAATGATCAACTGAATGCTTGTGAAATGGGGTGCATCTAAAAATAAAGCTTTGATGGGCTGAGTCATAGTTACCATAGACTATTTCTGAAGGCAAGGAAGAACATAAGGACAACTCAGACAGTTGGATGCTTTGAACTGCAATGAAGAGTTTAAAGAAGGAAAATGACAAACTTAATGTGATGTTTAAAATTGTAGGTCAAGACTCAAAGAACCCAGGAGTTTCTATGATTGCTCAGAATAGCTTTTTATGAGGATTCAAACCATAAGAGTAAGGAGATAAAGAGCTTGATCTATGAATGGTCACCAAATTACAATGTAAGATAAATCTACAGCCTACCCAGGTGTCTTATGTAGAAGTCTTTTGAAACCATTCTGAAACTAAAGAAGACACCCCAAGAACTAGAAACAGAATATTTGGAAAGATTCAGATAAGTCTATATTCCCTGGTATTCCAAACCCCAGTGAGGATCCCTGAGTCTCTGATGAGCATCATCATATTGATCTTTGATGACCCTGTGATGACCTCACTTTAAATTTCTGTTCCTCATGTCCACCCCAAACACCCCTCCTTTCCTCCAGATTTTTAATTAAAAAACATCAAGGGATAAACTGCCAGTCTTAACTGAAGCAGAAAAGGTTAACATATCAGAAAACATATTTGATGGTGCTAATTTCCAATCTCGGATATCTGGGAATACAGAATATGTAGAATTAGATAACAGCACTGAAAGAGGAAGGGCAAGCAAATATTTTGGTCTGGTCAAATTGATCATTGTGGCTATATTTTCAGAGACTCTGGATTTAACTTTGAATCAAGCAGCTGGGAGGGCTTGTAATTGCCTGCTCCATTGGTTAGCTAAAATAGAAACTCAGTTGTGGCCTAGATTAAGGACATTTATAGCGAGTAAAGGTGCAAATTCAGAAATTCCTAGGGTGTAATGTAGGCGATGGAATCCAAAGATTTCTGGAGTTAATAATGGAGAAATTTGCCTAGCCCTTGCTATTTCATCTGAGATAAAAATGCCTCGTGATAGTAGCTCTTTTAGACCAGGGATGAAAGTGATACATGCTGATCTGATCCTCAGGTGGACTCTGATTTTCTCGTATATGACAGACTCCTGCAGTGGTAGAGGCCAAAGTGATAATATATTCTCACCCGAGGAGTGTGTATACTCATGGTGACAGGCAGAGTGCTTTGATCCCTAGGATCTTTGGTGAGGATAACTGATCTTAGTGTCCATAATAGACCAGTATGATCGAACTGTGTTAAAAAAAAAAAGTCATAATAGGGCCCTCCCTGTTGGCACAGTTGGTTAAAGCACAGCACTGTAAGCAAGCAGAGCTTGCTTCAGCGCAAGTTTGAACCCCTACCCTAGAGGTGATCCACATGGCACAGCAGACCTCTCCTGTCTTGCTCACTGCTCCCCTCAGCAGTGTACTTCCTCAATCTGCCTGTTCTGCTCCC